GTAGCACTGGATTGCATTCTGAACGGCTGCTGCAACCTTCGTGTACCATTCTACATTCAGGTCCCGTGCCTCAAAAACTAACAGTGCCTCCCAACTAAAGAAAATCCCCTTGCCATTTCCTGCATCGTGAATCTCTTAGTTCTTCAGTTACTTCTTCTTCCTCTTGTCTCTCTTCGTCCTTTCTCTGGGCCTCCAATTCCATCAGGCCTTTATTAGTAAGCTCCTTGGTCTGCACAGGAAGGAGTTCGGTGAAGTTGTCCTCTTGTAGATCGAGCTTGAAATAAAGATACTGTACTACTGTACTCTATACAGTTGTGTACAGTGAAGTACACAAAAGCACAACCACCTGTAGAGGATGCACGCACTGACGATGTACACCAGACAGGTGAACTAACTTACGTGATTGGACATGAGAAAGTATGTTCGCATCTTTGAAAGTTAGCAACTTGAAGGTTCATATGTAGGGGGTTTACTGTAATATTCGAAAGGCTTTTTATACATTATCTTACTTATTCCTTTCAGGTAGATGGTATAATTATCCTTATCTTATAGGTTAGCAAACTCAGAGATTAAAGAACTTGCCTAAAGTTGGTAGGTAACAGAGCAATAATTTGAATCCAGGTCAGCTGGAGTGTAGAGACCAAGCTCTTACACATACAGCCTCTTCTTAATTAACTATACATGGCACAGGGCCTGTCTGTCTGTCGGTCTAGTTTTGCAGATCAGACCAATGTTAATGTCCTCTGATTTTTTTCTTGCCGGACCACCTTTTAACGGTCTGATTTCTTTATATCTCTTCAAATTTCTTTGAGGTCTTAGGCTTTTGATTACTTTTACCCTCAAAATACAGTAAACATTTCATAATTTAAAATACCACAAAAAATATGGCTGCATAAATGAGCAAAAATAGCGTGTCTGATTTTGTAATGTATTACGTGCTTTTTCCCCCCCAAGAAAAGATCAGCTTGCAATCCTGTATTTTGTAGATGATCCTAAAAGCCCTGGTGTCCAGGATACCCAGTGTCTAGGGTATCACCACAACCCCCAACATACACACAGAGCAACATAATGCTAAGGGGTCATATTCTAGAAATATTTAAGTGCTTTTGAGGAGCCAGCAGAATGGACTAAACTAAACTGGTGACACCTAAACTACTGCCAAACGAATCATAAGTTTTCTGCACTCTTGATTCACGAAAATCTTTCCCTAATTGTGTTCATAGATGAATATAAATACTGAAATAACCAAGTGAGATGAAGAACTGAAAATGCTTCAAAACATGTTGGGGTAAAGTGCTACTCTTAATATTATACTTTATAAGTCAGTGAGTGACTAACAAACATTTTTGATAGGATATTTTTGCCGATGCAGTTTCGTTTGAGAGTCACTGCTGCAAATTGAATTCTGCCTCTGTAGCTTAGTTGTATGAAAGCCACTTACTGGTCATCTTCTTCCAAAAAGACGAACGTTTGTTGGACCACAGGTTAATCTAACCCTAAACCCGTCCTAAAAAAGAAAATATCGATTTATCTCACTGGCTATCCAGATATAAATACTAGGCAAATAAGATGAACTCAACTGTTGAGATGAGTGCAATTTAGTTAGTAGTAGGTAGTAAACAGATCTTGTCTATGATCAAGTTTTGTATAACTACACTTTAAGATGGTCCTTAGATATGCATGGTAGTAGAGAGGAATAAGGATATGAGGAAGTAAAAACAATGGAAAAAAATTTAAAAATCAAACATCCATTCTCTTTATGTTAGAATCCATCCAGACACATAATCTGGTCCAGACACCGATGTTCATGTGAATGACCACATGCACAAATATGTGTGTCCGTACTGAACTCCTCTCCCTGCCCTGACTCTGCTGCTGGAGCAGCCTGGGACCCAGCTAGCTGGAGGGCAGGATGCATCAACCATTTACAGTGAACAGAGAGCTAAGTTGCAAATACCGAATTACCGCCAGACATCCCCCTGGCCTACAGTGTCACTGATACGGTGGACAATATCATATTTAAAATATTTCAGGGACCCTCAATTAAGATTCTGCTGCAACAATAAATCACAAAGTAACAACCTGAGCTGTGCTCATATCGATCATGTTGCTTCTCTCTCTGCCCCTTCACTGAGGGATATTTCCAGCCCTCCATCCCCATAGCAGAGTCCCAAGATATGCCAGGAGAAGAGCCTGACAGAACAGAAGGGACATCCCCAGGCTTGCACCATCATCCTCCTCTCTGCGTTTATATCCCTGCTACGATGCTAAGCGCCAAACCTGCCAGCAAAACTAGGACAAGGCACCCATACCTGCCATTCTACTGAAACCAAGAAATAACAATGTGGTTCCCTGGAAAGTGTGGAGTCTGGAGTTGGCCTGCGTCTTCACCCCGTCACTGACCAGCTGTGCACCTGGCAAGTTTTCTTAGCAGGAAAGTGCTGCGTGTGTGTGGAGGGGGTGGGCTGGTGAGAGCCTAAGGCTTTCTGGTCGGCATCTGGGACTTGCCGCCTTTGTCAGAGTGAGTGGCCTTGGATGGACAGTTGTCAGATCAGTTTGTCTAAATTTCTGGTCAGACACAGTCTCATCACGGGAATGTGGAAGACGTCCTTCAAGATTTTCTGGAAAGGAGTGTGAACTGTCTTTCTCAAAAGAAAACACAGAAAATCGGAAGAAGAGCCTGAGGGGAGAGGTGGAGAGGCCTTCAGAGAGAAGGGAGGACTGTGTTATGAGTAAGTTACTGTCAAAGATCTGAAGGACGTGAAACCTGCTTAACTGAGAAATTGCTGAAGGACAGAAACAACCTCTTGGCCTTGTGAAGTGAACCGCCTCTGTGGAGGAAAGGAGAGGGAAATGAGAGGAGCTGACACACGGCCACTTCAAGGTCCCTGAGGCAGACGCATTAACCTTCACCAAGGGAGCCGGGCCGGGTCCTCTTTTGTGCAGTAGAGTCTAGCCTGGACATTCAGCAAAATCAAGATCAGTGTACAATGCAGTCCATCAATTCACTGTGGAAATGACTTTGGAATCAGATCAATTCACCCCCCAATATTGTTCAAAGGAAAAGCTGGATCTCCTGGTTAAAAAAAGAAAAAGGCCAAAAAAAAAACTGCTAAAAGATAAAACCAAAACCAAAATGGCAAAACCCTCTCAGCTGGCCTGTACTTAGATGGCCAGCAATAATTATGCATGCAATTACTAATAAGACACATTCACAGAAACAGTACAACAAAGAGTTGCCCATTTAAAGAAATACAGTCTTTAATTCCAAGGAGAGGGACTAAGGTGGCTTTAAAAGTGTAACCAGAGTGTGTTCTATCTTATCTTCACATAAAAGAGTTATTCCATGCTAGAAAAATGGTGAAAACAATTTTACTCACCTCTCTTCCCTGAAGAATCCCAAGAATTTGGAAGCATTGTGGAATGAAGACATGTCATAGTGTTACAAAGCATTTTAAAAAGAGGTCCTCATAACACTTCTATATTTTGGCATATAGTTGAGTTACATTTATGAGTTTTGATTACCTCTGTTCAAAAGAGTCAACTGTATTTTTGTGGATTAGAAACTAAGTAATATTTACATTTTAATTGTGTTTGGATACACTGTAACAAGCATGTAGTGATTGCAGGGAGTATATAATGCTAATTACATTTAAAAGACAGGAGAGTTATTATTTCCCTTATTAGTGCAGGAAAACTAAATGTAATTTTTGTGAAATGTATAGGAATATTAGATGTACCTGTTTAGATGAAATTGGATACCCAATCAGAATTTTTTTTTAATTCAAAAAGGTCTAATACTCTGATGATAATGCCTTTTAACAAAAGACAACGCATACATACATTTTATCATATAATCATTTTCATTGTAACATAGCAGTAGTATTAGCCTAGAAAAGCTCCTCCTGGGAATTCACTTCAAATTATTGAAGCAGCTGTTTCTTCAGTTTAAAATAAAATATCCATAACAAGTTCACACATGACAGATGCAAGGTAAAAGCTAGATTCCATAGTGTGAGCTAGAAGCAGATGTTTTGAATGATCATATTTATAACCAGATACAATAAATCTTAGTTATCTATAGCAAGGTTTCATGAATATTCTTTTCTGAGAATTTGCTTAAAACGTACTTCCTGTAGTTTCTTATATTTTTGAGAACAAGGCTTCATTAAATATAAATATTCTATAAATTCTTCTGTACCTGGTCTTTTTCATACTTACTCATTTCACGTGCTCCCTCAAGAATAAAAGCACTGTTAGGGCACTGAAATTTATTACATTTATTTAATCCTACACATTTCCCCTATCTAATTCAGTCAGAAGACTCTTGTTTTTTAAAATAAACTCATGGCTATTAGAAAGAATGACACTTTTAAGTCTCAGAATAAGCAGTTTGCCTGATGAAACACCATTCTATATTTTTAGTGAATGTCAGTATATAATTACTACTAGAACTTTTAAAAATCTCTTAAAAACGGAAGTTTAGTGAAAATTTAAAGAAAAGTTTGACGGTAAAAGTGAAAGACTGGAGTTATCAATCATACAGCTCTGAACGTCTTCTATTCAATTTTGGTAACCTATAGTTTATCACTACTTTCCCTTTTGCACATGGATTAACTTACATTTCGAAACTAAAGCAATCGGGGCATGGGGGAAAAGCAAGTGATCTGGCATTACAAGATGGGGGTTCGTGTTCCAGCTCTGCTTCTTACTAGTTGTACACCTTAGGCAGATCCCATAAGTTCTCCCACGTTCCTCACAGGAAGACAGTTGTCAGGAACGGATACTAAATTATATACATATACAATTCCTTTGTAACATATAGGAGTTATATTTCCAGGAAATGCACACACGTGCTCAGTTTTCTGTAGATAAATGGCCAGATGTGTATCAAAAGGCACTTCTTAAAAAAAAAAAAAAAAAGCCACTTCTTCAGTGCTGCTCCCACTATGGTGAAGCATTATGCGACGCTTTATGTGACAGTTAAAACAAGCCATCACCTCTGCATGATGCTCTTCATTCTGCTGTAGGACTTCTATGCAGAGCTCTGCTAGATGAAGAACCTCTTCCAGCTTCCTAGCAGGAGTCGCCTGGTTCATGGTCTCTGCGTTAAAAACAGATCATAATAATGTTACCTTGAAAATAAAAAGCCAAGCAGATTCTAAGATGTTAATGATGAGACCAGGGTGTTGAAATAGAATGAGAAAGCATAGTTTTGAGAAATGAGAGACAAGAAATACAAATGAATACAGTCTTTAAAAAAAAATCAGTTCACAAGATTGCACAAAATATTTCACCCACAAAGCAATCATGGGAAACTGCAAGTGCTTTGCCATTTAACATATTACAACTAACAGGTGCATCAGCACATTAGATGCTCAACTTCTGCAACAAACAAGTTATAATTCTCCTCAAGGTCAGAAATACAAAGAAAGGCAGATACCACAGTCTTTTCCTTCTCTCTGTATTGTATTAGCAATACAATACCATTCTCACGAGATGAGTCATTCCTGGCATTAGTGAAACGCAGGCTTTTCTGTTGCTATTTAGATTTCCAGCCTGAAATGTCTAAGGTTCATGTTGATCTTAAATGGAAGAAGTACAAAGTCACCTAAAACAGCTCTGACAGGCTGCAATTAACTGATTTCCTCTCCTCCAACCGGGGAGGGCTGAAGAGCCATTCTTTAAAGTTGAAGGTTCTCTCAGCATTACAGCAAACTGGTATAAAAAGGCCAGGCCACAATGAGATTAAGTGCAGCTGAAATTCAGCAACAGAGAAGGCAAAGCAGTTGATTTCAGAGATAAAACGAACTGGCAAAAATTAGAGCTGCCCTGTGTGATGAAACTGTTTCACAACTGTGAGGAATAGAGTTTCCAATAAGGATACTAAGGATAAACGTTTCTGGACTCTCTCTTTGCCCCTGTATGGAGATTATAAGGAAGAGACATAAAATGTTTAGATAAAGAGCTTTTTCTGTGGAACCTAAGGAGTTTTTTTGTTTTTTGTTTTTTTGGCAGGGGCAGGGCAAGAGATCTACTCCCTCTACATCTCCCTATAACTTCAGCCTTAACTTTGGAAGACTTCCATTTGCTCTTAATTTGTTCCCAAGGGACATACGATTCAGTGAAACAGCCTATGATTGGTGCCTGTTCATTAAACACTTCTTATAAGCTCACTATGGGTCACAGTGTGATGCACGTGGGGTTTCCCATCCTCCAACCCTGATACACATCCTCCCAAACTCCCCTGCAGGATTAAAGCCACTGCTCATCTGTCACAGGGATCAAAGAGTAGGATGATTCTTCAGGAAAACAGTCGGCCAAACACAACAGAGTTGAGTGTGCCTACAATAATCTTAGCTGTGGGAAGTAGGAGGAAGTAGATGACACGTCCCTGCTCTTAAACCACTCAGACTCCAAAAATCACTGCTGCTGGGACCCTCAGACATCCACTATCCAACGTCCCATCTGTTTCATGATCACTTCAACATCCTCAAACGAGGGTGAAGTCAAGGAGGCTTGTGACTTTGCACGACAGTCTGCTCCACTTGGGGGCAGCTCTCGCTATTGCAGTGAGGAAACTTCAAAGTTTGGAAACAGTGTAAAGCAAACAGGGGAGGCAGGGGATGTTAGGAGAGACTGCTGAGAGCAGGTGTATTTGGGGGGTGGTGCGGGATATCAGTGGGAAGATAAGCAGAACCTGAAGCAGGTCCTAAAGGAGAAGCAAATGACCTGGGTAAGAGGAGCAAGGGTTTCTAGAAATGCTTGCATGTCAGAGATGTGGTGCGTTTCAGAGGAAGGTGATGATGAAGGTGGCTACAAATGTCACCATTTATTGAGAGCCAATTACGTGTCAGACCCGGCACCAGGCACTTCCCATGTGTCATCTAATTTTCCTAACAGCTTTAAGCCGTTTGGTTATTTATTCATGTAAGTCGTAAATGAGGAAACAAGCTTGGAGAGATGAAATGCCACAGCTAACACGTGGTAAAGGTGAGACCGGACTTGGTGTGGGCTCTTAGCATCTCTACCCTGCATTTGCCTGGCTGGAGTAAAAAAGTTCTGGGAAATGATGGGTGAGGAGCCTGAGGTTGGATCGTGGCTTCCCTGGTGGTGCAGTGGTTGAGAGTCCACCTGCCCATGCAGGGGACACGGGATCGTGCCCCAGTCCGGGAGGATCTCACATGCCGCGGAGTGGCTGGGCCCGTGAGCCATGGCCGCTGAGCCTGCGCGTCCGGAGCAGGGTTCTCTCAGCTTTTCTCTGAGGCTTTAAGTAAGAAAATAAATAGACTCAGTAACTATATCCTATCTGGTAACCTGGAGCAAATGTTTCCTTGCCGGGCTTCAGAATAAATTAATTTTGGGAGAACGTATTTGTGGTTGTGTAGTACAAGGAAGGACTGGTGGGGACCAGGTCTAGCGTATGGAGAACTATGGGAAGACAGTAATGGGAACAGAAAAGAAGAGAAAGGTAGAAGGGACGCTTTGAAGAAAGGACTTGCAAGCCTTTGTGAGTGACTAGAAATTGCGGGTCAGGGAGGACAATGACCTTGAGGTTTGGAGACTGCATGGCTCAGAGAATGGAGATGCGTGGCTGATGAAACCACCGAATGGGTCTTCGGTGGGCCACCCCACCTAATTACCATGTACATAAAATTTAAAGCAAGCAAATTATTCTAAACTAAAAGGAAAGTGGTGCACTGTAAAATCTGCATGCACAGGGAGTTAGGATATCTGGATCCTTTGCCTGGATAACTCCTACTCATCATTCAAGACACAGCTTTAATGCTACCTTAAATGTAGAACCTTCTCAAAGTTCTGGGGCTGGGTGAGTCGCTCCTCCCTCTGGGTTCCCCTATTACCAGCTCATGAGCTGTTACTAGACGAGGCCCAGATCAGTCAGAAACTGGGTCTCATGATCTTGTGCTCTCACTACCTTGAATAGGCTTTGGACCATGACAGGTACTTAATGAATGTTTACTGAGGATGCAGTAGTATAATTTTTGGGAAAGGGCATGTTAAAAGTAGAATCAATGCCCAAATTATTTCATTTCACTTTGTGTGGGATTGCAAATAGCTCTTCTGTCACTCACAAACCAAGGGTGAGTGACAGCAAGTCCACCAATGAAATGCAGCTGTAGTCCAAGGACACTGCTCAAATAATTGATGAAGCTGTGTTCTTAAATTATTAGAGATTTTTGGGGAAGAGTTTTCAAAATAATTTTTAATTCTCAAGAGCGTATCACTTATATTCTTTAATGTTTCCATCTTTAGATTTTTTTGTTTTTGCTTTTTTTGGCTGCATTGGGTCTTTGTTGCTGCGCATGGGCTTTCTCTAGTTGTGGCGAGTGGGAGCTACTCTTCATTGCAGTGGCTTCTCTTGTTGTGGAGCACGGGCTCTAGGCACAGGGGCTTCAGTAGTTGTGGCTCATGGGCTTAGTAGTTGCGGCTCGTGGGCTCTAGAGTGCAGGCTCAGTAGTTGTGGAGCACGAACTTAGTTGCTCTGTGGTATGTGGGATCTTCCCAGACCAGGGATCGAACCCATGTCCCCTGCATTGGCAGGCGGATTGTTAACCACTGCGCCACCAGGGAAGTCCCTCCATCTTTAGAATGAGGGTGTTGAATTAAGTTGAGGATTCTTAACCCTAGGGGTTAGGAATAGGTTTTAGGGAGTCCTTGAACCCCTTAAAATTATATGCTAATTTTTGTGTATAGAGGCATTTTTGGGGGAGTGAAGGATCACAACTTTCAGATTCTCAAAGTAGTCTATGAGCCAAACGAATGGTAAGCATCACTGAACCATATATGCTCTAAGATTCCTTCTAGCTAAGAGAGTCTATGCTTCCTATGAATTTTGGGCTTTACCTATATTGGATTATATCATTTCAACTTCATGAGGAAAGGGAAAGGCAACAAAATGTAATTGTTTTGATCACAGAAGAGAAACTTATTTTTCCTACATACTTTAGTACAATATTTACTCTATCCCTAAAACCATTCTGAAAGTTAGGGAATCAGGAGCCCCATTTCCAGATTAGGGAAAAGTGTCTTGGAGAGGTTAAAACAGTGATAATCCAGTGACTTGAATTCTTTTCCATTTTCAAATTCTCTGAATAGGATTAACATACACACACATACACTCAACTGAATATATATGTTCAATATAAATTTCTGAAATAGCTGAAAGCTTGAGTTTATAAAGTCACCATATCCTTAGCCACAAGTAGGCAATAATGGGAAAGAATCAAGGAAGCAACCTGAAAACGTATTTCTGTTTATGTGTGAATATATCAAAACCAGCTTTTAAATTTAACACTCTCTTAAGGAAAAACTCACAGAGTACCCTGTGTTCTACTGAAACTTAAAAACAGTCTGAAACACTTTATTCTTTCTAGATTAAACTTACTGAGAGGATCAAAACTTTGTACTTGAACATAATGACCACTCTAATACTTTAAACAAACAGCATTTTTATCAAGTACACTATGTATGCCATCTCTGGCTGCCACTCATTTGAGTACAGCCAAGAAGTTTAATGCATTTTTTAGCTAGAACTCTGCTAGATAACAAGGTTATCAACAGCTCCATTAAAATTCTGAGCACTGTGAATATTTGAGAATTCCCCCTTAAAATGTCCACTTTCCCTCTTTTTGCAACATTTCTACAGCATTACAGATGCCTCTATATTCTTCAAGCTTCACGCCAAGTTGCTGGTAGTTGGTAACGCATTTCAAATAGTGGCATTTAAAACAAATACACCCCAAAGTAGCAAGGTTTCTTGATGACTTTCAATGTATTGCTCTTGGCTACGATACTTCTTCATTCTGGAACCCTTTTACTTTTCTATGGCAACACTGCTAGGCTCCTCCAAGCAACCCCTTGTAATTATGCACCTGTGTACATTTAAGAAGAGATCTCACTGGAAAAAAAAGTCGGAGGTGGGGAGATGTAAGAAGACAGCCTGACCATTGTGTTGGCAGGCTTTAACTCTGCTCCCCTGCTTCAAAGAGGGTGCATACTCTCAGCATCCTCTCCTTGGCTGCCTCCTTTCCTGCCACTGCCTGTAACATTGGATACACAATGATGCTCACTGTGAAGGCTGTA